CGGCCGTGCACCGGGCTGGCCGGTGACTAGGAGGTCGCTGGCCCAGTTTCACCCTCAGTTTCCGAGACCAGTAACGTGCTGTGGTTCTTTTCTCACCCACAGGATATAAGCGCGATGTTAACGATGATGGATATCCACCCGGGAGACACTGTCTTGGAAACTGGCAGCGGGTCTGGCGCTATAAGCTTGTTTCTGTCGAGAGCGGGTGAGAACCTGGTTTTAGAAAACATAAAAGCAGCGCAATTCCCTTACCACACGTTGCCTTGCTTTGGACCAAATACTCGTCGTCAGTTCCTACGTGTTTTGCTGCAGTTCCCATGTTCATATATAGTTTGTTGGGTTATAGGAGGCCAGAGCCATTGTAGGGACTGCAAACTGTTTTGACTGTATTTTGAGGGCTGTAGTTCAAAGGGTCACTGAAGGCTCTGTAGAAAGCTGAGTTTCAACCATCATTGCTGTTGGCATTGGCTTAACCGTACTGGACTTTCTCTAATCTCTTGCCTTTCTCAGTTTCCTTTTCCCCGTCCTGACGGACAACATAAGTTATCAGATTGCTGGGTGCCAGCGAAAATGCTTATGTGGACACACGCTGCTCTTTTTCTGTGTTACAGCTGGCCTGGTTTGATCCAGGTCTCAGTGCCACCCTGTGTAGGCAGCAGCGTGGGCAAGGGTGAAACCTCACCCTTAAACTTCGTCTCATCTGTAGGTATCCTGCTACTGGAGAACAGTTCAGGGTGATTTGATTTAGGGGCTCCTGATAGAACAACTTCCTTAAGGGAGGGAAAAAAACACCCCACCACACAGACAAACGCCATCATTGTGTGCTGCAATTGGTTTTGCACGTAACCTGAAAAAATAAAATACCATTTGAATTTGGTTTTCAGTTGGTTTTTAAAGTGTATTTCTGCTATTGCAGAATGCTGCCCTTCTCTGCGCTATTAAAGATGAGCATTGAAGGTAAAGACAGGAACCCCATCATGGATCATCTTGAACTGATATACTGGAAAAGCACGAGTTGCATATCCTGAAGACTCTGTTCAAAGGCCGACTTTGTGGGCAGCTCGCCGTCAGAGTGACTGAACACCTGAGGGTGCCAGCACTGGTCACTGACCCTGAGAAGCACCCCTGGAATATCCTGAGCTGGGAAACCTCAGCACTAAAATTTCTGGTTTACTTTCCCAGTGGTTGTTACAAAGCAGCGTTAGAGACTGTGCTGTCGGTGGTTTGGGCTGCCGTTGTGGGTATACTCTGTCATTCAGCAGTCACGATACAGAACATGACAGCGCTCCCACCTACACCCAGGCAAGTGTCTATGGGAGGTGATGCTTCCTCCTATGCTCTTGTGAGGGAGACACACTGAAAAATCAGCTGCTGTTTTTGAAACCATTAAATAACCTCAGAACTCGAGGACAGCAAATCAGTTTTCTCTTACTCTCCCATGTAGCCATGCTGTCTACCTGCTGTCCTTTGGCCCATCTTCCAGGACAACAGTACAAGGCTTTTACAAGCATGAGTGTTTCTGAGGAAGTTAGTATTCACCAAGTATGTTACCAGTGCCATGGATCCAACCCTGCTCTGGGATGCCAGGTTATACTGCTGAGGGTAACGTGAGGAATTGTTACCCAGTGAATGCTACAAGCTAGAGTGCTGACATCCATCAGGAGCTTAAAATTGGTGAGGGTGTGTAAGCAGCAGCAAAGGGAATCTGGAGGGTCCCCTACGGAGACAAACAGAGCAGTTTGTTCTTCTAAGTCATTTGTTTTAGCTGCAGTAATCTCCATCTGGCATAGTAATTCCGTTAAAAATGCCCATTGTAATGATTTACAGTACCTTTAATGATTGCATTAAATGTTGGCCCAAGATCACTGAGCTGCAGGTGGTTTTGATACACGTTGGTCCCAGGTTCTGAGCTCAGCAGTGGCACCTCTGCTCCCCCTCCTGCTTTCTGCCTCCTACTGCTATTCCGTAGTTATTTCCAATCATCTTTCTGCAATAAACTAGGGTTTTTTTGTAGTTCCATAGTGGAATTTTGAAGACAGCCTGGGATTATCCTCAAACCAACCACTGCTGCCGTGGGAGCTAGATGCTGACAAAAAACAGAGAGGAAAGTCAGCACTTCTTTCTCCAGAGGTGGACTGGGAGAGAGGGAAAGTAAGAGTCATCAAGCTTTTCCCATCTTGCCCTACATGCAGATGCTAAATCCGAAGAAAGAGATTGAATGCCTGATGTTGGCTAAGGGAAAAGTTAGCTTTTGGTAACTAAATACAGCAGGTGTTTTTTGGTCTTGGGTATTTGGTCCATTGTGGCCATTTCATACAAAGGCACCTGGACTTAGCGACTATTCGTCTCCTTTTTCAGTCTTGTCCGAAGTTTCTTTCTGATCGCCTACCTGAATACAGCTGTAACTGTGCCAAGTCAGCAAAATCCTTGGCATCGCCAGGCTGTTAACCATGTCCGTGGGGAGAAAGCAGTCCTTGTGTGCCAGCTCAGCCCTATCTTGAGGAGAGGGGAGAAAGGTGTGAGATGGTGTTGCTGCTTTCAAATTTATTAATAAACTTAAATTAGCAGCAAATCCGGGCAGCGTTAGTCACGGCTTACCACAACGTGGTGCTGACCCAGAAATAAATAGGTTTGATTTGCTCTTTCCTAATGGTGCCCAGTTTTGCCAGTGATGGCCAGCAATAAAAATAGCTGCTACACAGGTAAATGCTGGAATTTAAAGGTAGTGGGCATGTTACTAAGGTCCATGGAAGTATTTAATGTCCAGAAATCCCATTGATTTAACAGATTTCATTAATCCTCTCTCCATGTTACTCTCATTTAATTTTTTATTTTTCATTCCTTTTTTAATCTTTCCCAGAAACTACTGTCATGCGACAGCACAAAGTTAAGAATGTGGAATTTGCTGTGACTTTAAGATCTTTGAACACTGGAAAATAGGATGTATGCAAACCTGACACACTGTAACTTCACAATAATGCAGTTTTGTCTAGCTACTTTAACTAGGTCTCCTTATGTTTCCAGAAGTCAGTTTCAAAATGCAGGAGATTTTTGGAATAAGCAGAGGAATGGATAAGACTTAGCACAGCGTGAACAATTTTATGCTTCCAATATTTCCAAACCGATAATCTGAGTAGTAGAGAGCTGGTGCTGCAATTCTCCAGCTGTTTAAGATGATCAGAGGCGACACTGCTGAGACCCTCACACCTTACGTGCTGGCTCTGGCCTCTGTCTGATCTGGGGCTGCCAGGAAACCCATCCCTTTTATTCAGTTTTCTGAATGGATTCACAGTGGGATCGCAGGTGAGGGAAGGAGCCTGGTGACTCCAACCTAAAATGGCCTAGACAGTCCCAGAACCTCACCCGCTGAGCTGCTGATAGCTGAAAGCTGTCCTTGCCTATTAGAAAGTAGCAAGGAGAGAGAAGCTGATGGTGGGATAGGTTTAAGAAACTGAAACAGGACAAGGGTAGAATAATACAGCAATGCACGTGCTGCTGTCTGTTCCTGGATTTCCTTGTAACGCTTCCTATATGAAGAACACTGTGTATCAGGCTGCCATGGTAAACTTCAGGATAGTAAGTTTATACTTAAAACAAGTAATAACATTTATTACAGTTACAGACAGTAACAGGAAAATAGCACAAGCCTGTGTAAATCAAGGAGTATGCATGAAAACTTGTCTAAGGGGCTGAGATCAGTGAGCAGGTCGAGGGGGTTTCCTTAGCCTTTCCCCACCCCTAAGAAGGGGCAGGTGAAGAAAGAATGATGCATTGAAAACAGCAAACCCCCTTGTAAAAATGTCAAAAAACCTGAAAGCCAGCAGTTTTAAACCTTGCTAACAAGAGAAGCAATCAGTGTCAGCTTTGTAGTGTCTGCGAGTAGGGACCCATGTTGTGGCCTTCCCAGCGGGTCCCTCTGGCAACTGTAGCAGGAGAACCATAGATTGACAGGGCCAGAGATGCTCGGGTTGTCTTGTGCTGCAGGAGTTAGTTCGGGAGGATAACCTGGGAACAGTCTGTACTACTGTAGCTGTGCTCAGTGCCATCTGTGGACTGATGGACTTCAGTCTGTAGAAGAACTAACCCAGCACTTTAATTTGTTTTAAATGTAAAGAAAAAATAAACCGTAATCGATTGTTTCCTATGTGATTACTTCCTAAAGTGAAATTGGGATTTAAAGGTGTACTTCTGTCATTTACAATGCTACTTTTTTTCCTAAATCCTTTATTTTGGGGAGAGGGAAGTAGTAAGCCTAGTATTTTTTGTTTGTTTTCAGTTGGGCCCAAAGGACGTGTTCTAAGTTATGAAATCAGAGATGATCATCATAATTTAGCGAAGAAGAATTACAGACACTGGCGAGCTGCCTGGGAAATAGGGCATTCGGAAGAGTGGCCAGACAACGTGGATTTCATTCTTCAAGACATTTCAGCAGCTGCTGCAGATATGAAATCTGTAACGCTTGATGCGGTAAGTCCAAAAAAATCCCTCCATTTGTCATTTTATCTTTTTGGTGTAAATTAAAACCCCTCATGCTAACAGCCACAATGGGATTCCCATAGCTAGTTTAACTGAGAACAAACAATCACATCCTCACCAATGAAAGAAACACTGATTTTTTTTTTCTTTTTTTTTTTTTTTTCTGTCTGATTACAAGTATTTTCACGGTTTCAGTTACAGTTTCCCAAATGTAAGAGCAGTATGGCTGCAGTACAGAAACACTGCTGTTAATCCCTGCTGTCTTATAAGCAAAGACAAACTCTCTTGTATTTTGGTGAAATGGATGTTTTTGTATCTGACTAAGGCATACATTTCAAACGTTGAATTTAAGAGAAACACATAAGCTTATTGAAAATACAAATGTGTAAACACTTTGCTGTCAGCGATATAGAACGCACAGTGTAGCTGAGGCCTCAGTTAGAGAAAGGAATGCTATTGCTCCCTCTCCTCTCCCACTTTTTACATCCAGGTTTTGTAAAGGGAGGCGTGCTGGGGAGAACAGTGAGATGAGAACTGCTCTTCATGTAAGGCAGACAAGCTACTTAACGTTAATGCTTTTAACAAACAACAATTCTGTTAAAACGGTTTGAGCAAAGAAATGAAATAGTATAAAAATACCATTGTTAAAACTGTAGATATAGTAGTCCACAGGAAGGATCAGATACTGCATATACCGTTTTTCTGTAGTTGAATAGTTTTCTAGCAGAAGCAGCATAAGTTGCCAAAGACGCAAGTTTTCTAAATCTTGAAAAAAAGGGCACATTAGACGTTGAGACTGTAGTGTGATTTTTCATGATAAAGATGCATTTGAACCTTTTTTTACATTTGAAAACTATATATCTAAATTAGTAGGAGGTTTAACATTAACACAGGACAACTGCGTTGGTGAAACGCTACTTGCTGTTTTGATAGAAATTCATTTGGAAGTAGCAAGGACTTTGTTTTGTGAATGTGTGGAGCTCAGATTTCTCTGAAGTTTTGAGAGACAGTAGTAAAACTGGTCTGTGACTGCATACTGCTGCTGCGTGCCGTCCTTTTCCGCAGCTAGACACTGGTCTTTACAGCATGTTGTTACAGAAAAAACTGCTAGGTATGTACCAATATCTAGTGGGCAAAGAGGTGTCGCTTTCTCTTGCAGGTAGTTCTGGATATGCTTAACCCTCAGTCTGCTCTGCCTGTCGTATATCCCAGTCTGAAACAGGGTGGTGTGTGCGCTGTGTATTTAGCAAAGTAAGTATTTACTTGTGGCACTTAGGCATTCACTCAGGCATCACCTAGCGTTGCATTGTTACAGAACCGAACATCTTCTCAAATATACATCCAGCATCAATGGACTGTTTGACAATTCCCCCCCTCCCCTGTAATTACACTTGGCCAAATCCTTTGGCCTTTACTTTGGGAACGTTCTCATTATGGTCAGTGGAAGTTTTCACTTAGTCACTTATCCCTAAGATTGATGGACTTATCAGAGGTTACAAAGATGTGACAAAGGCAGTAGAATTGAGACTAACGATGTATAATTTGAGTTCTCAAAATGCTACTTTGTCCTTTGCATTTCTTCAAAAGCATCACACAGGTTATTGAACTTTTAGACAGAATACGGACCTGGAAGCTCCCTTTTTTGTGTGAAAAGATCATTGAGGTAACTCATAAAAATTGGTTGGTACTCCCTGCTAAAACCAAGAATGGCAAATCAAGTCAGATGTTGGAAACTCAGGAGAATATTGAAGAAGCACCTCAAAAGGAATTCGAAGATATCCACATTCAAGATCAAGAAGTTCTTCAAGACAGTGAATACAGTGGTAAGAACATTGTTGCTGATGAGATATCCTGTTACTGCAATTTGATAATCCAAGGATAGAATGATGGCAAAGTTGCTAGGAAGAGGCAGTATTTTTTTCTTAGGTCAGCTGAGATTGTTGTGAGGAACAGACAACAAGCTTCTGGACATCCCAGACCTTCCCAGGTTTGAAAAAGGATGTATTAATTTAAGTTGAAATATCTTATTAAAAATCTAGACTAAATGGAAAACAAATTGCAATCTGCAGTTAAAGAATGACTGCCTTTCTATGACTCTCTTCAAATTTTTATTTTGTTAATTAAATTCAGTTCTCTGTACTCATTTTGTATCTGCTTCAGAGGACCCTGGCAGGCTTAAGGATTCCATAGAAGGAACATTACCAGCGTGCTCTGTTTTGTCATCATGTTCTGGCCAGTCCAAAGAAGATGCTTCATACTAGTACAGATTTGCAAAATCCCTAGTAGAGCAAAGAGGTCTGAATGTACTGATAGGTGGCAAAAAGAAAATGAAAAAATGTCAGGGAAAAATAATGCATGCGCACTGGCCGCTCTGCTCTGTGTGTATGTTTAAACTCATTGGAAAGAATTTTACTAAACTTACTTCTCACAGAATCCCTTTCTGACAATGCTGAAACACACTGCTGGAGGCCTTATGTTGCAAGACCATCTTACTGGCAGGATGCTCATTCAGGTGAGACACTTGGGAAGTGTTTTCTTATCTTAAATGTTCAGGGGTATTTTATTTTCACAGATACTGTTTTTGTACTGGCATTTGACATGTTACTATATCATGAAGTCTTAAAACTTAAAATAAAATAATCATTGTATGTTGAAATACTGAAGCAGTAACTTGTTTTGTTTTTTTAATTAGCATTCCTTACCAAGCTGAGAAAGTTCCGGCCATGGCTTGCGTGATGCTGCTGAGATGTTAGCTGCTAATGTGAATACTGTATCAGAATAAAATCTAATGAAGTGGTACAAAGAAGCTGCTACATTTCACAAGCTCTGTAACTTTTAAGTAATGACTGCTTTGATTTCTACTGCATGTAAAGTTTGGAATCCCACCTCCTGCTTCAAGGGAAAAGTCTTAACATAGACATCAGGCATGGTGTTGCGATGCAACAGGGATTGTTCTGCAGAGCACTGCATCTGTTTCTGTCTCGTCGGGTCTGTTTCATTCTTTGTTGCTTGTAAACCACTCCATGGATTTGTCTTGGTTCGAGGTGCTACGTCTCCTTTTGCTGGACAGGCTCTGACCATCTACCAGAAATAAGGAGAAAAAAATTTAGCAGGAAAATAATGGTTCAAATTGAAATGCAAGTGAAGCAGCTTCCGACTTTGCTGGTTACTGACTGGTGGCTATCCGTTTCTGTCAGAGCAGCGTCCTTAAAGCGCAGCCGTAAGAGAAACTGAAATGCACTGAATCTGCTCTCTTGGTAAAGCTGTGTGCCCTTCCAGGGACGACCAGCTGTTGGGATACGTGGCTTCAGTTCACTTCCACCAGCTGTGCTGAAAGCTGCCTGGTTATTTGTGAACTTCACATAAAGCATTTGCAAATGGTCAAAATAAACACTATTTTTTCTGATCTTTGTCAGGTATGAAAAGCAAGATCTCTCAAGTAGAAACAGATGTAAAATTAAGTCTTTTAGGATCTGACGTAGGTCTCCGCATAAGCATGTGGTGATGTTTAACACATTGAATTTATTAAATGACATGTTGTAGTCCCCTGACTTGTTCTGTTTCACAAGGAATAGTCAAATGCCAAATTTTTCAAAGTTGTGGGATTCCTTGAGAATCACAGTTGTACTGAAGCTGTCAAAAGCGGTAACACGATCCTACTATAGTAGTGAAGACCTGGATATTAGCGAGAACATACACAAATAAAAAATAGAGTTGTAAGTAACTGTAGCCCTCTATTAAAGAAGTGTACCAAGAACTCTGCAGTGGTTAAGCATGTGAGAACAGCTTTGCAGAACTGAAGCCTTACACAGCTCCCCCAGGAAGTTTGTGTCTTAAGTGTGTTGTGCTCTTAGTAATAAATTATTAATAGCCAGTGTTTGCCCCGTAAAGGCTGTAGTCATGAAGGCTTCTCAGACGAAGGCTGAGGATGCTGTTTTGGGTAGATTAATGTACAAAATGTAAAACAATTTTCACAATAAACTTTTAATACTGTTTTCTACTCTTAACCAAATCTTAAGAAGAAATCATTTATAAACTGTCAGCAATTGAGATACACCTAAAGGAAAACGTGAACTGTGATTTAACCTATGTCCAATCTGATGTCAGCAACTGAGCAGGCTGTGCCCTTCCTAAAAACAGTGGTCTCAACACAAGCACTTTAACTCAACGTGCTCTTTAAACTCTTATGACACACACCACTACTTCAATTGTTTCTTCTAGCGAATTCTGAGTGTTTAAATAGGATTCTCAGTTAATAATGCAACAATAGTAACAAATGCCTAAATAGACTGGAATGCAACCCAAAATCTACCTTAGTGGATGCAGGAAGAGATGCGGAATACAACGCAGTTGGTGCTTTCAGGAAGCGGAGAGACAAGATGTGAAAATGAAACTTCGGCAGCAGAAGCATGTTTTGCCAGGGTAACTGTTTGTACTAGGGATGTCTGCTCACACAGAGATTGCATCTCGTCATGCCAAGAACACAGCAGTCCCTAGAGTAGCCTGAAGGGCCAATGCAGCCTCAGTTGCCTAAGCTAATTGAAAATTATTTGCAACATTAAACCATACCTTGGCCATAGTAAAAAGAAGAGTCAACAAGCATCTTCTCAGTTCGAAAGGTGCCCTTCGAATCCTGGGATGAAGGTAATTCCATCATATCCAAAGTGCCAGTAGATGAGGAGGAAGATGATGATAATCCTAGTCGTACAAATCTTCCTTTCTTGCCACAAAGCAAGCAGTCTGCAGGAGTAGCACTAGGCCCTCGGGGCAGCTGTACTTGATCGTCGTAGTTTCTCACAGCTCCACTGTGGTGCACGGAACGTTCTCGCTGCCATATGTAGTGCGTTGGAGCAATAGCCATCACCTGTCGGAACAGCCGTTCCATGAGAAATCGTACAAATAATGGGAAAACGTAAGCTGAAAAGAAGGGATCCAATTCCTGTATGGCAGAGAATCAGCACTATGTGGCTGAAACGGGTATCACCAATTCTCTGCTGCTGTCTCACTAGAAGATTTGATGCCTTGGGCACGAGGAAGTGAACCGGTTACAGATCAGATGTGGAGGCACAAGTTTACAGCCTTGTATATCCATGTGAATCATCACAAATACCAGCTTATGCTTGGTATGTTGGATGAAGATGGTGTCTTTTATTAACTATTAACCATGAACTAGATGGATCTGGTTCACAGCGTCACTGAACTAACGACCATTGGAAGCTGGGAGGGTATGCTGGGAAAAGCATCCACACTTGCTTTGGTCCTTGTACTTTTCCAATAAGCACCCAACGCCATCCCCAGAGGTGGGATTCTAGAGTAAATGAGATGGCCTTTTCCACCAGCTGTAGTAAGCATTCTGTCCTTAGAACATGACAAGGCTTTTCCAGACAGGTACATTCCACCTGAAAATGAGGGATGTCTTTCCCCCCCCCTTCCCCCCGACAAGTTTGAAAAATGTAGGTTGTAACACTGCATTAATAGTTGAGAATGTTCAAAGTGTGTCCTGAGTTTTTTTTAAATGCAGTGAAAAACCTTAAAAAGTCAATTGAAGTTATATTACTAATTTTGAAAGGATTAAGATTTCACCTGAGGTGCTGGGATTTTTATTTGAAGGTTTTACTTGTGCACAGACTTGTAATTTGTAAAAGAACCACACACATACAATTACTTCTGAAGTGAATGAAGTGAAACAACCGATGGTGAATTTTAAATAGAAATATATGCATAAAGCAGAAAGATTCTAATCCATAAAAACTTCACTTTTAGCAGTAGTGCAATGTAGAATACTCAAGTTCACCTGAAGAGCATAGTTTCAAAGAATGAATTCTAAAAGCAGAAGAAAAAAAATGTTTCACAGAGGATAAATGGACCATTGCATTTTAGCGGCATCTTTCCTTCCCTGGGGCCTGTCTACACACTTTAGGGAAGAAATTACTGGTACAGAGCTAGTACCAGTAGCTCTGGTATTACTGGTATTAATTGTTATTACTGTTATTACTCTTAGCTGGTATTAATTGTTGCAGCTTCAGCATCTACAATATGAAACCCCTCCCTACCTCTTCACAGCAGCGTCTGCTTACAATAGCCCTGTAGTCAATTCTGCTCCATAGCTGATCTCTTAACTTTAAGAAATCAGGGAAGAGCTTTCTCCAGGCTTTTCCCAAAGCCCATGGAAAAATGTCGTACTTTGATTCTTCATCGTCTTCTTCAACTGTATTTGCCAGATACCTTCAAACATATAGAAGTTTGTGTCTGTAAATGTTACTCAAACTACTGTATTAGTATAATTTCTAACATTAAAAGACATACAGTTGAAGTAATTCTTTTTCCTAATATTGTGAGAAAAACTGCTAAGAAAATACAGCCTTCTCTCAGGATTAACGTATTTTCTTAATTAGAAAGCTCCATGTGTATCCATCAGGTAAATAAAAACTTTAACTATTATAAAAATTGCTTTACCCTAAATCCTAAATGAGTAGATCGCAAGGACAAACACACCCTGACAGCTTTCTCCAAACTGGCAAGATCTCCTTGCACTAAAATCACAGAACAGAGTGTGTTGGAAGGGCCCTTACAGACCATCTAGTTCCAACCCCCCTGCCATGGGCAGGGACACCTTCCACTAGACCAGGTTGCTCCAAGCCTCATCCAGCCTGGCCTTGAACACTTCCAGGGATGGGGCATCCACAGCTTCTCTGGGCAACCCGTTCCAGTGCCTCACCACCCTCGCCGGGAAGAACTTCTTCCTGATATCCAATCTAAATCTCCCCGCTTTCAATTTAAACCCATTACCCCTTGTCCTGTCACCACAGGCCCTTGTAAAAAGTCCCCCCCCAGCTTCCTTGTTGGCCCCTTCAGGTACTGGAAGGCTGCAATGCGGTCTCCCCAGAGCCTTCGCTTGCCCAGGCTGAACAAGCCCAACTCTCTCAGGCTGTCCCCATAGCAGCGGGGCTCCAGCCCTCTGAGCATCTTCATGGTCTGTAAGGTCCTTTTCTGACCCAAACCATTCTGTGATTCTATGAAGTACAAACTACTTTAAAAAGTCTCATAATTATGAGTGGCATAAACAAAATAATAAAATAATGCAAAGCTTATGCTAATAAAACCAGATAATTTAAAAGTACTTACAGAGCGACGAAGAAGTTGATTCTTGTATGCTCATTAATTGTGAAGTTAGCCCTCTTGAAATAAATGAAAGTCATTGCCAAGAGATACTGTTTTAAAATGTAAAATGAAGCCTCAGTATATTATTTCTGTATAAAATTTCCTAAAATACTTTGCACATTTATCTTGCACCAAGATATTTTGATCATTTTTATCAATGAGGGAAGCATAAATTGAGTTTCTTGAAGCTTCCATATGATCACATTAGAAAAAATCATGGTATTTGCATTACGGCATCAATTGATGAAGGGCAGATTTTTCACTCTCTACATGTTCTGTCAGCTAAGAAGGAAATACACTCACCTTGTCTGCAATTTTACAGCAACAGTCCATCCAAAGGAAGTCTTGGATTAGATCGTCATCTGCAACAAAAGAAAGCTGTAGCATTTCAAATACCAGAATTGTTTTTGTTAGAAAGTATTTGTAAATAAGTAACAGATGGTCCTTTTATTAAACCAGACAAAAGGAAAGAAGTTAGACCCAGCAGTAGAGAACAGAGAAACTGAGGGGAGAGAGAGATTAGGTATGAAAAAACCTAAGCAGCAAAAGAACACAAAGTGCCAGAAAAGCAAGGTGGAAAATCTACATAGGGCTGCATTTCATTCCTTCTCAGGAATAGCAAGTGGAGGTGAAAAATTACTAGTATTTTTTCTATTTATGTAGCTTCTTCCTGGGTTAAGCGATTCCATCTAACACCATCCCGTCATTTCTGATGAACCACAGCCTCTTGGGATCTCTGCACCTTGATTACCTGACAGCCTTTATACTTGCTTGATTATTTGTGGTTGGTGCATCACTGCCTGTGAACATGTACCATAGCAGGATTACTGCAAACTCTCTGATTCACTCCTGTCTTCCAGGTTCAAGTGAAAGCCAAGTGTAATCTTCCACTACTACTTAATCTCTTCACTAGATCAAATAAATACAAAACTTTGTATGAAAGAGTCACAAATGCAAAAGAGATGCTACAACTCCTCAGGTTTTCTTCCCATCCTGCTTCTCTCCATAAATGTTTATTCCCACAATAAAGAACATGTTTGTAAGAGCGGGAGTAAAACCTTTTTAAAGCCTTGCATAACACAAGATGTACATTGTTTTGCACGTATTTGTTGAAATATAAGAGAAAATAGAAAGGAAAAGGAAATGATCATAAAAGGAAGTACCATACCACTTTGGTTCCATTTGTAATTTAAAAAGATACTTTTCATCAGTTCAGTAGCCCTTCCTGTATCTTTAACTTAAGCATTAAATAATTACACACTAAAATATAACAACAGACTATGTTTAGGCAAAGGCATGGTCATTAGTATCAATATAAAAAGCACTCTCAAAATTACTGAGTTTAGAAAACATACTTGCTTAAGATCTTTCTACTGTTCAGTCAATACTTTGATGTCTGTCATTAGTAACCTACCAAATAATTTAAAGAAAGCTGTCATTTCCGGGCGATGAATAACTAGACGTGGTGCCTTTGGACACTGATATTTATGGCTAGGAACTTTCTTTTCATAGTTTTCTTCATGGTCTTTAAAAGCGGGCCGCTTTAGTCTAATGAGTTTTTTTTGCTGATGTGATCTGTATGCACTCAGTTTTGCATGAACAGTGACAGTGGGAGGTGTCTGACACACCAGATGATTGTGTCTCATTTTGGTAAGTAAAGGTTCCTATTAAAAAAGAAGAAGAAATTAACTACAGAAACAGTCAGTTTGGGCAGTAGTTCTCTGTATTTCTTACGTTCAAGTGAAGCATCGCAGTAGAGCTTGTATGTCAGGTGATACAAAAATGAAGTGTATCAGTACTAATTATCTAGATCTTGTACCCTAAGCCAACTATGTAGGTTTCTTTAATTTAGTTCTGATTTCATGAAGTTTTGGGTTTGGTTTTTGAGGTTTTTTTCCAGTGGAAAGGAAGGAGCCTTCAAGCTTTTTCCATTCAAACTTTTGAAAAATGGAAAAAAATCCATTCCAGGAAAAAGTGGCTGTTCGTCAGTTCCTCCCAGCCCCTACAAGCAAACAAGTAACCAAAGATCCTTAGATCTACCAAAAGGCCTCCATTCCTCCCCTCCAGTTTGTGATTGTGTGTTTTCAAAAGACCATTAATAAAATTAATGCAACAGAACTCTAAGACACGTTAGAATGAAAGCTCTCGAGATCCTCATTTTTGTAATAGTTGGTTACAGCCACTGGGAATAAAACATCCCTCAAGTAGGGCATACCCTGCGGGCATAACCAAGGAAACAAACCTGAGGTGTCTGTAAAGGTAAAAATCAAGAGTGGAATGGAAGGAAAGGTGGATTTACACAGGAGCAAAGGCATTTAGCTCTTCACTAGGACCCTCCACACAGCATCAGGCCGCCTGAGGCCACCTCACAGCAGCCTACTTGGCTCGCCAGCTCTGTGTTAGCTGCCACATACACGACAAAACGGCCCTCACGTGTGGATCTGATTGCACGC